AATGAAAGCAAAACAGAATTAATAGATAAATTTAAGATTGATTTGGTTGAAAAATTAGCAAAATTTAAATTCCTGAAAATTCAATTTTAGAGCAAAGTTTTATAAAAATCACTCTATGATTTTTAAAAGACTAAGTTTTAAAACTAAGAAAATACAGATTTAGTTATTTTATGTTTGTTCACTTCTTGTCTAGATTGTAGTTTTTATTATTCACTTTCCTGCACTTTGGCTTTAATATTCTTTTTAATCATTTTTACACTTCTAAAAAATTAGCCATTCTTCTAATTTATTATCACAAAATATGACAGAACAAATTCTTGATGGTTATTTTCATTACTTTGAAAGACATTTGAAAATGTAAATATTTCTGATAACTCTTTGAAAATAATAATGCAGATATATTTGTAATTTTTCTCAAATTGATGTATAATCCTAAATTTCAGTGGTATTGAAGTATTCCTAGAATCTTCCCATTTATTTAAATCAGCATATGGAGTTAAGAGAAGAAAAATAGATGTGAATATTGAGAAGCAGTAATCAAGCATCAGTATTTGCAACTAAACAGAACTAACTTCTTGATAACAAAAGTATAAAAACTAAAAGCTTTTAACATACGTATCTAAATTCCAGCAATAAGAAACAAAGAAACAGAATAAAATCTCCTTCTATATGCAGTGATTCTTAAATGTTAATATGAACACAGATACTCCTAGGATCCCTTTAAAATGCAGATTCAGTAAGTTTTTAGAAAGGAATTGGTACTTTGGATGTCTAGTATAATCTTAGGTGGTATTGCTAATTGTGAATAGTAAGGCATATTATGTGTAGTCTGTGTGTAGATATATTATGATACATACTTATATATGTGTGTACGTACAATGTATACATACTCTAATCTCATGTATAATTTTTAAACTTAAGAACCAATAATACATTTGCAAAAATTCTATGTTTAAAAAGTTGAAGGATTAATATACTATTGAGAAACATAAAAGAATATTTAACTGAAGAAGAGTAATGTCCCATTTCTGGGTGTGAAGAAAATAGTATGAAATGTCTATTGTTTTTACTTAATCTATTACCTTTAGTTTAGCACCAGTGAAACCCATCAAATAATGTTTTTGCAACTTAAATAAAGATTATAAAGTTCATCAGGAGGAAAAAACTTTCCATATTAGTTAACCAATTTTTCACAAAGAGAACATTAGGCAGTTACTTTCTTTACAAACATTAAAATGAATTGTAAATTAACAATAATTAAGACCTATTCAGCCACTGAAGTAGACAGATTAAAAGAGTGAGTCTAAAAGTCCAGGTGTGGACCCAGGTGTGCAGATGAACTTAGCACATGGCACATCACTGGGAGAAGGGTGAGTAGCCTGACAGTGAGTTAGGAAGTCTGGGACAGTACTGAAATCGCTCTACATCCTACCTCGTTATTTTATAAACTTCAAACTTAACCGATCAAGCGTGCACACACATAAAGCTATGTGAACTTAAATAAAAAAGATGAAACTTAGAGCATCCACAAAGAAAAATCATTTGAACCATAAGACACACAAACAGTTATAAATTGATTTAAAAAGTAAATTGATATGTCTTATTAGGGTTCTTTTGCACATGATCTCATTGTCTTATAATGGGCTAATCAACCAAGTGAGCAATATTGCCCGTTACTGACACTAACTCTCTTCTCGCAAAAATTCTATCACTGTTATAATTTAGCCACCCTGTCTAACATGATTCTAGTTTTTTACCAAAGCCCTATCAGCATAGCTAAATCAAAGTTATTTTCTCTGTGATAAAATCCAACTAATCAGCACAGAAACCTCCCTCTGATTACAATTACAGATTTTTCCTACTGTAGCCCAGTGAAATTGTCCATTTTGATCACAGATTGCTTTCAGCATCTCCTCCAAATAGCATTGAATGATAAACAATTAGGAACTTTGTAAAAGGTAAATCATCGTTTCCTCTACAAGTTACACATGATCTAAAACACATATTTAAAAGGATACATCGGTTTTGCAAACATCAATAAATTAATAAAAGTGTGAAAACTAAGCTTTACACTTATAACTAGCACTGGCTTGCCAAATATCTCACAGGGGCATATTATAAACACTCAATGAAAACTACAGTTTTTATGAGTCAAAAGAGGAGCAGGTATAAATCTCATCCAAAACTTGCAAACACTCCTTTATAATGTCACTTTCAGGGTGGAGACTTGGTCTGGAGTTCTTTGGGTCTCTCTTACAACTTTGGGACTCGTTTCAGTGCAGGGTGCTGTGACAACTTAAAGAACCCACGTGAAGCCAGGTGAACTACCACATGCCTGTAATCCCAGCAACCCAGAAGTTGAGAGGAAAGTTCAAGCCCAAGCTGAGCAACTTAGTGAGTTTCAAATTTAAGTAAAATGGTCTGGGGAAATAGCTTAGTGGTAGACCATTTGCCTAGCATGTGTGATTCCCTGAGTTCAATCTCTAGTACTGCAAAAGCAAAATAAACCTAGTCCAGTCTAATAATGAAACTCGTAGTTCACAAGCTAATTTTAAATTCTATTTTTTTAACTTACTTACGTAGCCCAGGCTGGTCTCAAACTCACAGTGATCCTCCTCTTGCCTCAGCCCCCCCACCCCCACTTTTTATTCAGACAAGGTCTCACTTCATAGTTCAAAAATGGCCTTGAACTTGCTTTTGTAGCTCAGGCTGGCTTAAATTCACGGTGAGCCCCTGCCTCTCTCTCCCAATTGCTGGGCTTATAGGCATACATGAATTCTATTATTTAAAAAAGTCATATTGAAATGATTCCTATAATGATCACCTCACCAACCCTCACTAGCCACAAAAAAAAAAATCTCCTTGACCCACATCCAAAGCCACTTTGAGGCCTCCTTTCCCATCTCCCTCTTTTTTCTTCTTTTTACCTTTTCTCTCAGTATTCTAGGTCACTGCCTCATCCTTTTTCCAGCTTAATCCATTTTTGGCAAAAGATCGAGTCTGGAAAATAGCTTAGCAAAGCCAAAATACTACATCATAGGCAAAAAGACGTTGACGTCCAGAAATATCTCTTCATTAAGGCCTTTACTCTGTCATGTGCATAGGTACATACTAAATTTTCTTAACTGAATGAATGATTATACAGTGAGAGGAGAGAGTGAGTTATGAAATGGAAGAAAAGGTTTTGGCCCAAACTGGAAAACCTGGGCCTTTAACCGAACTCTGATCTTAACCACTCTGGCTTGCTTTTATAAGATGAGTTTTATAGAGATAAAATATATAAACACATTTCAGAAAGATACTTTTTTCTGAACTAATAAAATGTAGGAGTGGCAGACATTAATATTTTTATATCTACTTCATATTAAAATTGCCCACGTGATAGTTTTTAAATCTCCAGCATTTTAGTCAGAATTCATCAAAACAAATGACCTATATTCTTAGGGGATGAATGGAGTTGTTGTTGTTGTTTGCTTTATTGTTTGCACAAATCATTAGTCATAGAGTACAGCAAAATCTCATTAACTTATACCCTTGTAATTCAGAAGTCCTCAAAGGAAAAGCAACAATTTATAATACAGTGACAAGATATAGTTCTCAGGCTAGAGATGCTTATGGAAAGCATCCGACCAATTTGTAACACAAACTTAAAATAACTCTTCAACTAACTAGCATGCTTTTAGAAAGTTGTCTTAACCTCTCTGGTTTCTGCTTATTTGTGTTTAAAGTACACTAAATTATATAAATAATCCATGTCATCATATTATTCTACAGTTCTTCATGGAACAAAGAGATGTTTTTCCCAGTTTTGCCTTTTTAAAAGCAGTGTTTCTGGGAGTAGAATTATTTTAGTTTGCATGTAATTTTTTAACCCAGAGTTTATGACTAGCCTTGAAGGGATCTCATAGGTTCCCCAAAGTTAGGCAACTGTATTTATGGGCACTTTTCTGGGTGGCGATTCATGGTTATCATCTGATTCTCAAAAACCTCTGTGCACTTCTCAAAATAAAAAATAAAAGAAGCCAAGAACCACTTACTTCAATAGTGAACTAATTTCAAGTGATTCTCATCAGCTTGCAAAAACAGGAATACAGGATGTTATTTAGTAATCTCATGTAGGCTTGCTAACTTGGAATCCCATATCAATAAGCACAGTAGAAGCTACACTGAAATTTTCACTAAAAGAGCATCCCAATTTCCAGCTGATGCTGTGCGATGGACTGCATCTGTCTAGTTTACCTGATCATCAAATGCAGGAACAGTGCCCAACTGAATAGGCTCTTAAGGAAGTTAGGAACGAGACGTCTACCAGTTTATCTCTAGGGGAAGAAGACAGCAGGAGAGTGATCATCGTCTCATCTGGATTTGAATATACTCCAGAACTCCAGGAGACATGGGAAAAGTCAGACGACAAAGGTGGATACATTCATCCTCTCTGCCTCTACAAGGCAAACCTTGTAATTTTAGTCAAAAAACAGAGGAGGCCCAAAGAAAGGCTCTTACCCAAATGGGCAAAATCAAGACCGCTGCTTTATCCTATTGTACAGGGCTTCTTCCTAACACTACATGATCCAGCTGGGGGAAAACATACAGCATGTTGCAGTTCCTGTCTTTTAACTGAAATTAAACTGTTAATGATCTCCTCTTTCATTAAAAATAGATATACCATATATAAACTATGAGTTTTGCCTGATTTATTAGCACAGGCAAATAAAATAGCACCGTGTCTTATATCTAAGTTGGATTTGAATTCTTTATTATCAGATCTCTAAAAGTATCAGTATTATAAAGTTATTTTACGATGCAAAGTTAATTTCTTTTTTTTTAATAATGCTTGTTTATTTGCCTTAACTGACAATTACAGGAAGAAATAAAGGGCTTCATTCATTAGTATCTTTTAAAGTAGCATATAAAATTGAATGCGATTTCATTTCTATACACTTCTGGTAATTATCTTTTAAAAGCCTAACAACATTTGCATTTCTTTTATCTTTTTACAGGAGCATTGTTTTAAACCCAGCCTATTTCCGAAACCATCTTCGTCAAGCTACAGTGTTTAGATGTCTGGAGAGATATTCAGAAGCTGCCCGGTATGTTTGTTACAACTTTGTGAAGATTTATTTAAAGTTAAATTAATTTTATTCTCAGATTCTGGTAATAGCATAAGAGAACTTTCCATTTCTCTCTTGGAATATAATTTTACCCAAATTATTGTCTTATAAATGTCAAGCCAACAATTATTGACTATCTTTTTTTTAATTAAAGCTATTTCATGTTCATAGCTCTTAGCAAAATTCCAACTTTCCAGCCACAAGGTCACTAACAATGATCGGAAAACTTCCATAGATAATAGAAATGAACTTGACTTCTTACTCTTGAGGACATTCCCAGTTCAGATTGTAATAATACAGTTCTGTGACTTGAGTTTTGGAGATGAAATCTAATCACAGAAATGAGCCTCTATCAGTTATATAACACAAAGGGCTGTCAGAAAAATATCACAGTATTGCCTCTTGGACACCAATGTGCTTAGAAGGAATCAGAACCCAAACTTATGGCAAAGATTTACAAGGATCTTGTACCCTCCTCAGTGCTACAAGGAACCAACTCTTAATTCCAAGGTCAGCCTTGTTATGCCCAATTCCTTTTCTTTTGACAAATCTCGCAAACAAGCTCCCTAATCTTCCTCAATAGAGAAACCTGCTACTTCTCCATATCATCACTCTAGCAATTTAATAATAAAATCTGGGTAGTTTTAAGATTTAGTTTGAACACAACTCCTAATCATACATCTGCAGTAATAGGGATGGGGTTCCTAGGCTACCAGGGGTTACTGTCTCTAGAACATTTATAAATATTTTTGAGATTGAAAGCAAGAGTTTAAGTGGAGAATAAAAAAATGACAATATGATGTTCACACAGGTTCCCTTTGTGTAAGATGGTTCTAAGAATCGCCTAAATTCAAAACATGGACACGAAAGGCACAGTTAATCCCAACTACTGTGTTTGGCCAAATGGTGCCTCTTGTTAGACGCATGTTAACTATCCACTTTGAAAAATTATAATAGGTCTTTATCATGTTTTTTGCATTCCATTTCATCTACACTATTTCTTCAGTGTGTTTACCTAATGTCCTAGCACGTAACTCCTCCTACTTTTTATTTTTCTCCACTGAATCATTCCTATGGTTTTTTTCTATCCATACACTTTTTCTAACTGTGAGAGAAAATTAAGAGATGATAATAAGCATCTTTCTGTCCCACAGTTCAAAAAGAGAGTTTTTGTAAAGGTCATTAACAATAAGTTGTGATCAGTATAAACAGCTAACAGTTATCCACAAGATAGAATTTCAAAAGAGGTAGTTTACTAATACTTGGATCTAATCAAAGCATCAATAGAAACTTAGACACAACTTCAGACCTAAATTGCAACTAGTAAAAAAACTGCTAACAGTGTTCTTATACAGTCTCTAAAGAACAGATGGTTAAATATTTGGGGAATTGGAGGCACCTAATTGTTAAACTGTAGGAGAAATCAGATGTAAATTATAAATAACTATATTTGAAAATTAGGAATAAATTATACCAGGAAAATTTGTAAATTGGAAAATGCTACAAATCCACATATCAAGAAAAGATCGTTACCAGAAAATCATTGGCTATAACAAAATTATATCAAGCATAAATTTCTGAATCAAAATGGGACAAAAATCTCTTACAATTTTAAAACAAAACAAAAAATAAGAAATTAAAAATTAGGAATATGTTAATAGTTGCCACATGTAATCATCACTGGTCATTATATTATTCTTTTTATCTCCATGCAGTAAACCAGATTCATCTTTAACTATCAGTTGTTGACTCACTTGGCAATATTCCTTGAGGAACTCCTTGATAATTGTTAGCTATATCGGTGTGGACTCCAACAGAGAAGTAGATATTATTACTATAAGATACAAGTGTTTTTCATTTTGGTTTCCTTGGCAATTACAGCCCTCAGTATAAAATATACAAGGTGTCATTAAAAATATGGTATGTAGGCAATTATCTAAAAATTTGGTACAGTAAAAAACATATTGCTCTTGACTCACCTCAAAATTCTCCCCTTTGCTTCAAAATATACATTCTTGCCACTTTCTGAAGCAGCTCTGAAAGTCCTCTTAGATGGATAGCTTTGGTTGCCCCTTCACGCCCTCAGTGTCCTGAACTGATGCAAAATGTTTACCTTTCATGGTCATTTTTTGACTTTGGGGGCAGAGCTAAGCAGTTGCATAGTGCCAGGCCAGGTGAATGGGTGGATAAGGACACACCATGTTTTTATGAGCCTGCCTTTCCACTGGATGGCGTACAGACACAGCATTCACCTTATTTTTTAGCATAGTTTATAAAATATACTTGAAGAGAATTTCCAGAATTGCTTCAGAAGGTGGCAAGAATGATGATTTAAGCTGAAGGGTGTGTATTTTGGGGAGGGATATTAATGGCCACAAGTCCTGTCCTGTAATAATATTTTTAATTTAAATACTCACTGTATTTTAGACTGACTATTTTATGTCCTCTCTTCTACCATTCAAGGGAAAAGATACTATGAACTGAGAACATGAATATCTTAGTGTCTGTTAGCTCAGTGTTTCTGATATTTCTAATATCAATTGATTGTAATCAATCAATGTCTTGAATATTTGAGAAATTTTCTTCAAAATTCAGAACTTTTACAAGCAAATTATTTTAAAGCATATTGGTAAAGTCAACACACCAATGTCATTTCCTCTATGTCAAGAAGTCATGCTTCTGGGGTTGACAGTAACATTAAATACAAAATAATTCCATTATTATCTGACTTAGAGATACTTTTATAAAAATCTTGGAAACAACCAAAATGCTCATCAACTGTGGAATAGATTTTAAAAAATGTGATATTTTTATACAACGGAGTATTCCTCAGCTATAAAAAAGGATAAACTTGAGGCTTTTTTTAAAAGCCTAAGGTAAATGAATACAACTAGAGACCATACTCATAAGTGAAATAAACCAGAATTCCATGTATAAATACTGTATTGTCTCCCTAGTGTAAAAATACAAGTAAATAAGATCCAAACTGTGCAAGAGATATTGTGAAAATGAAAGGGGAAGAAAGCCCTCCAAAGGAACGAACAACTGGGATAAGGGAAACGAGAAAAGAAAGAAGGGAAAATATTATATATATACATATATATATATTATATATAAGTATTATGTAAATATATACAAGATTCATAACTATACTACTAACATCTGTTCACCAAAAAGAATAGTTGTGTTTTCATTATCTGATTGATCATTTTTTTCATACCTAAATCTTGTGATCTGAACAACTACTTTCAAGATAACAATATAAAAAATATATCAACTAGTATTAATTTCCTATTTCTTTTTTAAAATTCTTTATCATTTTTATTCTTTTTTGTTTTTAAAATAACAACATTCCCCAAAAAGTGTAACACTCAGTTTCTCTTCCAAAATATTAGCAGGCCCTGGGAAGTTTTAATGCTGAGGCTATCTGAACCTAACCACCTTCAACTACAAAGGGTTTCCTCGTTTAATAGATCAGAAAGGTCCCCAAAACAGGATCCTAAGAGCTCTCAACTGGGGAGACTGGAGGAAACACTAATCCCTGTAGCTAAATGAAAGATATCAACAAGGTTTACAATAGACAGAGCTTTCATTTTACATGTTAATATACTTTTAGTAACATTTTACTGGAAGAAAGAACAAGAATGCACTGACATTAGAAGTTAAATAAAATTAGAGATATCATATAGTGCATTAGGCGCTACAAGAATGCTGGTCACCTTTGAAGAGGTAGCTGGCACCGATCAAATCAATGAAATCACATTTTCTACTACAAAACTGAATTAAGGTTGCTGTAATCACAACTCCAAGTTCATTCCCCCAAGAATCGGCCACCTGTGAGTTCTTACCTGAAATAGCAAGTAGTTCTTTAACATCTCCCTGTTTCTAGGCATATAAAAATATCAGTATAGATGTAGAATACCTTTCTTCAAAGCTGACACCCTGCCCAAACACACACATATGTACATGAACACACACACACACACACACACACACACAGAGAACATTTGACATTGTCTTTATGAGAAAAGTAATATGAGAAAAATATACAGAAACATAAAAGAAAATTCAAGACCGTTCTGTGTAGAGACCTGATGATTCTTGACAGCATGAATGGTTTTAATGTCTTTATCTCCAGATGCCCAATAACTACCTCACAGCTCAGAATGTACCAAGCACTAGTTAGAGGCTTATGAGTTAACTTAGCTAGTTTATGTGTCTGAGTTGGCTTGTAGTTGATAAACATTCAGTTTAGCACTAAGAAGCTGTTACATTAAATTATTAATCCTGGTTGAAAGATAAGGGTATGCAAATAGTTTGATGATCATGTGATAGCAAGATATCACCACAATGAAGTCATAGGACAAAAAAAAAAAAAAAGACAATGACATTGTAAAGAATCTTTAGTTAAGTCCATACTGTCCACAGTAAATAAAAGTAAAGAAGTAGATTCAATGAAACCTCTTTGTCCATCATTCATGAGTTAGTGAACTAGATAGGAAATTCTAGAAGGAATAGTATACCGAAAGGCTTAACAAATCCTGGCACATGATGTATGTAGTAGCTCAATTATAAGATAAAAATGTGTTCTATGAACTACAAGTCACTGGCCACATGGGTACCTCCCAGGGATGTTTCCAAAGGCAATGGCCAGGACTCAAATCCATCTAATGTCACTATGTAGCAATGTAGGCTTAGTACTGTAGATCTTTTAAGAAATCACAGAAAAACTGAAGAAGTTGGTGGGATTCAAAATGTACAATAGATATTGTGAAGGTGGAAGGAGAGGAAATGTCAGAAGTTTCCAGGAATTTCTTTTGCTTTTAAATGAAGATAATTATTTTGGTTTTTCCAAACACGGTGTCATCTTTAGAAAGTAGAAATAGTGCTATTCATGAAAAAATAATTCACAGAAAAATCAGTTCTCCAAATGACCAATTTGCAGAACTCATCAGATTTTAAAGTTCAATAAAAATTTA